GATAAGTTAGGTTAGGTTAGCTAGGGTTGGTTAGGTTCGGTCAAATATCTACGTTAATTTTAACTCCAATAAAAAAAAATTGACCTCATACATAATGAAATGGGTAGCTTTATTATTTCATAAGAAAAAAATAGAGAAAAATATTAATTCAGGAAAACTTGGCTTATTAGGCAAATCGGGCCTTGCATAGTAGCTGAGAAGTGCGTTCTGGCTACTAAGTACGACATATATATGTATATGTATATGTATATATATATATATATATATATATATATATATATATATATAGATATATATATATATATATATATATATATATATATATATATAATTATATATATAATATATATATATATATATATATATATAATATATATATATATATATATATGTAATATATATATATGTATATATGTATATATGTATATATGTATATATATATATATATATATATATATATATCTAGTACTATTATATGTATATATATATATATATATATATATATATATATATATATATATATATATATATATATATATATATATATATATATATATATATATATATGCCCGTGTATTCATGCCTATATATTCATGCCTGTTCAACATGATTATACGAACAACCTTCTCCCACATATCTGTCCCCTCATGCTTGTTCCACATACCTGTCCTCCATACCGAGACTACATGGTTTATTCAGCCAAGATTGATCATGAAGTTGTCGTTTTATTATTTTAGGGTAGGCAAACGCTGCATTAATTTGACTTCTAATTATACATTATTTGCTACAAATTATACAATATTTGCTCAAAAGTGTATATTATTTACTTCAATTTATACATTATTTGCTTGAAATTGTAAACTATTTATTTCATGTTATACATTATTTGCTTGAAATTGTACATTATTTTCTTCATGTTATTCATTATTCTTATTTGCTTCAAATTGTGCATTGTTTGCTACAAGTTATACATTATTTCCTTCAAGCTATACACTATTTGTTTGAAGTTATTCAGCATTTGTTTCAAGTTATACATCATTTGCTTCAAATTATACATTATTTGTATCAAGTTATAAGCTATACATTATTTGCTTCAAGTTATACATTATTTTCATCAAGTTATACATTATTTGCTTCAAGTTATACATTATTTTCATCAAGTTATACATTACTTGCTTCAAGTTATACAATATTTGCTTCAAGTTATACATTATTTTCATCAAGTTATACGTTATTTGCTTCTAGTTATACATTATTTGCTTCAAGTTATAGGTTATTTGCTTCACGTTATACATTATTTCTTAAAAGTATACATTATTTACTTAAAAGTATACATTATTTGCTTCATGTTATACATTATTTGCTTCATGTTATACATTATTTACTTAAAAGTATACATTATTACTTACTTAAAGTATACATTATTTGCTTCAAGTTATACATTATTTGCTTCAAGTTATACATTATTTGCTTCAAGTTATACATTATTTACTTAAAAGTATACATTATTTGCTTCAAGTTATACATTATTTGCTTCACGTTATACATTATTTGCTACATGTGCTTCATTAGTAACATAGTGTGAAGTAACCATCTATACTTCACACAACCATCATCACTCTAACCATCCTTACTACTCACAACCATCATCACTGTAACCGTAATCACTGTTACCATCTTTATTACTTACCATCAACTCAGTCACCATCCTCACTATCCGGGCATCGCCGGTTATTCCCCATATACAACTTTGATCATAATATCAATACTTCACTATTCTTCATCACCCTCCTTAGTCTTCTTTACCTTCCCTACCCTTCACCACCTTATCTACCCTTCACCACCTTATCTACCCTTCACCACCTTATCTACCCTTCACCACATTTGTTACCCTTCACCACCTTATCTACCCTTCACCACCTTATCTACCCTTCACCACCTTATCTACCCTTCACCACCTTATCTACCCTTCACCACATTTGTTACCCTTCACCACCTTATCTACCCTTCACCACCTTATCTACCCTTCACCACCTTATCTACCCTTCACCACCTTATCTACCCTTCATCACTTTACCTACCCTTCACCACCTTATGTACCCTTCACCACCTTATCAACCCTTCACCACCTTATCTACCCTTCACAACATTTGTTACCCTTCACCACCTTATCTACCATTCACCACCTTATCTACCCTTCACCACCTTATCTACCCTTCACCACCTTATCTACCCTTCACCACCTTATCTACCCTTCACCACATTTGTTACCCTTCACCCCTTATCTACCCTTCACCACCTTATCTACCCTTCACCACCTTATCTACCCTTCACCACCTTATTTACCCTTCACCACCGTCTCTACTCTTCAGCACCTATTTACCTTTCACCTTCCCTACCTTTCACCCCTTAACCTTCCCTACCCTTCACCTTCTTTACTCTTCAACACTTTCCCTTCATCGATGTAACCATTCCCACTAAACACTATCGTCATCAATTAATAAACATAAGAGAAGGGAGGTAATTATAAGGGGAAGGCGCCAAGCTATTACGACTATATAGCACTGGGAAGGGGTCAGTATAAGGGTATGGTAAGGGACGAGGGGAAGGAATAGTGCCCAGTCACTTGGACAGTCGGGGATTGAACGCCGACATGCATAATGCGAGACCGTCTCTCTACCGTCCAGCCCAATAGTCGCTGAATAGTTGTTGAATTAGCTGGTATTCCAAGTAGGAGGGTGGTGGAGGCCAGTGGTTGGTAGGCTGAGGTTAGGGAGTGGTAGAGCGAGGTCAGTGTTTAGTAAATCACCTGATTACCTCTGAGGCTGTTAGTCTTTGAGCCCATCAGGGCCACATAGTTATCAGAGCCAGAATAATATGGTAACTAGTAAAAACTTGAATTCTTCCTTGAAGGCTTCTGTTGTTGATCCATTGATATTTCTTATATTTCCTGGTTGGAGATTGAAGAGTCGTGGCCCTCTTACGTTTACACTGACCTCTCTAATAGACTTAAAAGCTCCCTGACTTTTCAGAGGATATATTTTACACTTCCGACGATATCTCCTAATCCAGTATGTGGAAATTTTATTGTGAAGGTTTGGAACCTGACCTTCCAGTATTTTCCATGTGAAAATTCTGACAAATTTACCTTTGCTTCGTTCTGAAGAGTACAGTGTGTGTACTATCAGGAGGTTCTAGTCGTTGACGGGCATACTAATTATTTTTGGGCAGAAAATAATCTCTGCATGATGTCAAACTCTGTTGTCTCGCCAGTGTTGCAAGGGAACGTGAGGACCAGTGCGTTGTGGAGGACAGTGGGTGATGGGGAGCAGTTAGTGGAGGAGGACAGTGGGTGATGGGGAGCAGTTAGTGGAGGAGGACAGTGGGTGATGGGGAGCAGTTAGTGGAGGAGTGCAGTGGGTGATGGGGAGCAGTTAGTGGAGGAGGGCAGTGGGTGATGGGGAGCAGTTAGTGGAGGAGGGCAGTGGGTGATGGGAGCAGTTAGTGGAGGAGGGCAGTGGGTGATGGGGAGCAGTTAGTGGAGGAGGGCAGTGGGTGATGGGGAGCAGTTAGTGGAGGAGGGCAGTGGGTGATGGGGAGCAGTTAGTGGAGGAGGGCAGTGGGTGATGGGGAGCAGTTAGTGGAGGAGGGCAGTGGGTGATGGGGAGCAGTTAGTGGAGGAGGGCAGTGGGTGATGGAGGGTAGTGGGTGGTGGAGGGCAGTGGGTGATGGAGGGCAGTGGTTGGTGGAGGACAGTGGGTGGTAGAGGTCAATGAGTGGAGGAGAGCAGTGGGTGGTGAAGGGCAGTGGGTGGTGGAGGGCAGTGGGTGGTGGAGGGCAGTGGGTGGTGGAGGGCAGTGGGTGGTGGAGGACAGTGGGTGGTGGAGGACAGTGGGTGGTGGAGGACAGTGGTTGGTGGAGGACAGTGGTTGGTGGAGGGCAGTGGGTGGTGGAGGACAGTGGGTGGTGGAGGGCAGTGGGTGGTGGAGGGCAGTGGGTGGTGGAGGACAGTGGGTGGTGGAGGGCAGTGGGTGGTGGAGGACAGTGGTTGGTGGAGGACAGTGGGTGGTGGAGGACAGTGGGTGGTGGAGGGCAGTGGGTGGTGGAGGGCAGTGGGTGGTGGAAGACAGTGGGTGGTGGAGGACAGTGGGTGGTGGAGGGCAGTGGGTGGTGGAGGGCAGTGGGTGGTGGAGGACAGTGGGTGGTGGAGGACAGTGGGTGGTGGAGGGCAGTGGGTGGTGGAGGGCAGTGGGTGGTGGAGGACAGTGGTTGGTGGAGGACAGTGGGTGGTGGAGGACAGTGGTTGGTGGAGGACAGTGGTTGGTGGAGGACAGTGGGTGGTGGAGGGCAGTGGTTGGTGGAGGACAGTGGGTGGTGGAGGGCAGTGGTTGGTGGAGGGCAGTGGGTGGTGGAGGGCAGTGGTTGGTGGAGGGCAGTGGGTGGTGGAGGGCAGTGGGTGGTGGAGGGCAGTGGGTGGTGGAGGGCAGTGGGTGGTGGAGGGCAGTGGGTGGTGGAGGGCATTGGGTGGTGGAGGGCAGTGGTTGGTGGAGGGCAGTGGGTGGTGGAGGGCAGTGGGTGGTGGAGGGCAGTGGGTGGTGGAGGGCAGTGGGTGGTGGAGGGCAGTGGGTCGTGGAGGACAGTGGTCGGTGGAGGGCAGTGGGTGGTGGAGGGCAGTGGGTGGTGGAGGGCAGTGGTTGGTGGAGGACAGTGGGTGGTGGAGGGCAGTGGGTGGTAGAGGGCAGTGGTTGGTGGAGGGCAGTGGGTGGTGGAGGGCAGTGGTTGGTGGAGGACAGTGGTTGGTGGAGGGCAGTGGTTGGTGGAGGGCAGTGGGTGGTGGAGGGCAGTGGTTAGTGGAGGACAGTGGTTGGTGGAGGGCAGTGGGTGGTGGAGGGCAGTGGTTGGTGGAGGACAGTGGTTGGTGGAGGACAGTGGTTGGTGGAGGGCAGTGGTTGGTGGAGGGCAGTGGGTGGTGGAGGGCAGTGGTTGGTGGAGGACAGTGGTTGGTGGAGGGCAGTGGGTGGTGGAGGGCAGTGGTTGGTGGAGGACAGTGGTTGGTGGAGGACAGTGGGTGGTGGAGGGCAGTGGTTGGTGGAGGACAGTGGGTGGTGAATTGCAGTTGGTGATGGATAGGAATTGGAGTTATGGATGGTGGGGACAATCCCCGGGAGGGATACAGTAAGGGTAGGAGGGGTCCGTGTTGAAGACCTGGCCATCTTCACAGGCTCCAACGATGCCTGGCTGTCCGACGTTCTGACAACGGAAGTACTCCTTCTCACACGTTGTGCACTTGGGGAAGAAGCCCACTGACGTACACGTCATAGAATCCTGGCAGTTAGAACTGGCACCACACAGTGGAGTACAACCGTCGCTAAGCACACACTGACCTGCTGTTGGGTCAAACGTTTCTCCTGAAGGGCAGGTGTAATGATACGTTTCGTCAACTTTTCCATCCTGTAGGCACATGTAGTACTTACTGCAGTCGTAGGGGTCTGGTATCTCTGCCAAATAAGTAGGGCAGTAAGCAATGCACAGGTCACAGCACACAGTTGGGTCAGACACGCATTTCTGGGTCTGGCTGTCAAAATAAGGGTTAGCAACAGGACAGTCATTTGGCCCCTGAACATTCCTGTCAGCATTGCAAGAATAGTACCTACTACAATTATTTTTGTCTGCGATTATGTCCGGCACTTCGGTGCATGCTAAACGGCAAGTGTTTGGCACGCATTCATCCCAGTTACATTTACCAGCTGTGTTAGGAGTATCACAGATAAGTGCATTTTCGTCGAAATATTCAGTAAGTGGACAATCCAGAGAAACTTGCGAGACGATTCCGTCCCCCAAACAAACGTAATACTTAGTGCAGTCAACATGATTCTGAACCAGATCTTGAGGGCTCTTGCCAGCACAATCAGGGTCACATTTTCCAGCAGAGAGGACCTGGGTAACGCAGAACAGCGCCGACACCCACGCCACCTGCAGCAGACATCCGCCATGTTAATGTTCCTGCTGAAACTTCCACTGATAGCACAAATTAAAATATATCAAACATTTTCTTGAACTGAAAATAAAACTGGTTCAAATCGCTGAAAACTTTTAGAAGTATTCAAAAGGAAATACTGTAGCTATAGTTGTCAGTGTTGCTATAATTGTTTTTTCAGTGTTATAGTTGTGGTTTTCAGTATCGATATAGTTTTCAGTTCCGATATAGTTGTCAATGTTATAATTGTTGTTGTTATTGTTGTCATTGTTATCAGGTCTGAATGTGTGATTAGGACGAGGCTTACATCTCAACGTCAAAAATCTAAGATTTTAGACGTTGAGATATAAGTCTCGTCCTATTCACACACTCAGACCTTGACAAAGCCCTCAAGATAGTGCGAAAGACTTGGTGTAAATTCCTTAAAAAAATTAACAAATACAAAAGTGTGGGTTTTTATCATATGTTATTGTGTCTGTGAGAAAACATTACCATTACTAGAGTGTTGCTATTATTGCCCTTGTTAGTTGTTGGTGTTGTTATATTATCAGTATTGTTATAGTTGTTAACGTTATAGTGGTCAGTGTCGTTATAGTTGTCAGTGTTGTTATAGTTGTCAATGTTTTTGTAGTTTTCAATGTCATTATTATCAGTGTCGTTATTGTTGTCGGTGTTGTTATTGTGATAAAGTGTGTGATTGTGATCAGGGTTGTTATTGCTGTCGATGTTGTTGAATTTGTCATTGGACTTATAGTTGTCAGTGTTGTTATTGTTATTGTTGTGTTATAATTGTCAGTGTTGTTATTATTTTCATTGTTAATGTCAGTGTTGTTACAGTTGTCAGTGTTATTGTTGTCAGTGTTGTTATAGTAGTCAGTTTCGTCCGTTATAGATATCATTGTTGTTTGTCTGATTCGTTCATTGTAGATATCTGCGTTCACATTGTTATTGTCAGTGTTACTGTTGTCAGTGCTGGTATTGTTTTCAGTATTTTTGCTTGTGCTATTATTGCCAGTGTTGTAGATGCCAGTGTGGGTATTGTGGTCAGTGTTATATCAGCATTGTCAATTTTATCGTTGTCAGTATAGTCAATGATATTGCTGTCAGTGTTGTTATAGCTGTCAGTATTGTTGTCAGTGTTGTTATAGCTGCCAGTATTGTTGTCAGTGTTGTTATAGCTGTCAGTATTGTTGTCAGTGTTGTTATAGCTGCCAGTATTGTTGTCAGTGTTGTTATAGCTGTCAGTATTGTTGTCAGTGTTGTTATAGCTGCCAGTATTGTTGTCAGTGTTGTTATAGCTGCCAGTATTATTGTCAGTGTTGTTATAGCTGTCAGTATTGTTGTCAGTGTTGTTATAGCTGCCAGTATTGTTGTCAGTGTTGTTATAGCTGCCAGTATTGTTGTCAGTGTTGTTATAGCTGCCAGTATTGATGTCAGTGTTGTTATAGCTGTCAGTATTGTTGTCAGTGTTGTTATAACTGTCAGTATTGTTGTCAGTGTTGTTATAGCTGTCAGTATTGTTGTCAATGTTGTTATAACTGTCAGTATTGTTGTCAGTGTTGTTATAGCTGCCAGTATTGTTGACAGTGTTGTTACTGTTGTAAGTATCATAGTTTCCAGATTTGTTATTATTGTTGTCAGGGTTGTTAAAACTCTCAGTTTTGTTATAGTTGTCTTTCGTTATGACCTCTGTAGCCTGGTGGAGCGAGTCTACCCAGGGAGTGTTTTTCTGTTTTCTGGACCTGAGATAAAGATGTCAGAGAAAGACAATATATAATAAACGTTAGTGAATAATTTAAAAAATTCTAGCAGAGGATGAGCGTCTGGAAATAAGTGACATGAAATGAGATGCCGATACTTTGGTGACGTGACGTGACGCTAGCCGGTTGTCGTGACCTCACTTGAGCTACGGCAGTCGTCAGAGATGGTAGTACTTCGTTAATCTCCTGTAAGGAGTAAGAATATAGTTCCCGGTGGAGCGAAGGCTACTTGTTTGCAAGTGTGAGGAAGCTGTTGAGGACATAGTACACCATTTCTCTGTGATTTGCATAAATTAGAAGCGACCTGGAAGTGAGTGTTGGTCGCACCTTTGTGGAACTCTAATTGTGTGCTTCTTCAAGAGGAAGGAAAGAAGGAGGTAAGCAGACGTTTCTGTGTGGAGCCTGCCGGGCAATTCCGTGTTCTCAAGTCAGGACTAGAAGAAGCCTTGTGCAGCAGTTCTGTAGTAATTTTTGTGGGCAGCCTGTGTGAGCGCCATGTTGAGGGCCCAGGGAGTGAGCACCCAACGCCATGGGTGTTGGTATATATATATTAGCAGTCTTTCCTGTAGACATATATTATTAAATATGACCGAAAAGTAAGATTAATAATTCTAACACGAATTTTCTCAATCTTTCGTACATTTCTTTTTCACTGGTGGAGGTAAATCAAAAATCAATTCTCCAAATTCATTTTTATTCTAGTCTGACGCGACACGAGCGCGTTTCGTAAAACTTATTACATTTTCAAAGACTTTAGTTCACAAATACACAACTGAATAGAACTTACGCATCTCCGATTTTATATCTACATTTGAGTGAGGTGGAAGGGGTGATGTGGCATTAACACAAGACAGAACAATAGGGTATTAATAGGGTATTAATTTCATCAACACAAGACAGAACAAGAAGTGGTATTAATAGGGTATTATTTACATCAATACACAAGAAAGAACACGAAAACAATGGATATTGAATAGAAGCGTTTGTAGAAAGCCTATTGGTCCATATTTCTTGATGCTTCTATATTGGAGCGGAGTCTTGAGGTGGGTAGAATATAGTTGATGCAATAGTTGGCTGTTGATTGCTGGTGTTGACTTCTTGATGTGTAGTGCCTCGCAAACGTCAAGCCGCCTGCTATCGCTGTATCTATCGATGATTTCTGTGTTGTTTACTAGGATTTCATCTGGCGATGGTTTGGTTGTGGGAAGAGATTATATGTTCCTTAATGAAGCCTGTTGCTTATGCATCGTTAAACGCCTAGAGGAGAGATGTTGTTGTCTTGCCTATATACTGGGTTTTTGGAGCTTACAGTCCCCAAGTGGGCATTTGAAGGCATAGACGACGTTAGTCTCTTTTAAGCGACTAACGTCGTCTGTGTCTGGAGAATGCCCACTTGGGGACTGTAAGCTCCAAAAAACCCAGTATATAGGCAAGACAAAAACATCTCTTTCTAGGCGTTTAACGATGCATAAGCAACAGGGCTCCATTAAGGAACATATAATCTCTTCCCACAACCAAACCATCGCCAGAGAAATCCTAGTAAACAACACAGAAATCATCGATAGATACAGCGATAGCAGACGGCTTGACGTTTGCGAGGCACTACACATCAAGAAGTCAACACCAGCAATCAACAGCCAATTATTGCACAACTATATTCTACCCACCTCAAGACTCCGCTCCAATATAGAAGCATCAAGAAATATGGACCAATAGGCTTTCTACAAACGCTTCTATTCAATATCCATTGTTTCGTGTTCTGTCTTGTGTTGATGAAATTAATACCCTATTAATACCCTTGTTCTGTCTTGTGTTGATGAAATTAATACCCTATTAATACCACATTTTGTTCTGTCTTGTGTTAATGCCACATCACCCCTTCCACCTCACTCAAATGTAGATATAAAATCGGAGATACGTAAGTTCTATTCAGTTGTGTATTTGTGAACTAAAGTCTTTGAAAATGTAATAAGTTTTACGAAACGCGCCCGTGTCGCGTCAGACTAGAAATAAAAATGATTTTGGAGAATTGATTTTTGATTTACCTCCAACAGTGAAGCGTAATGTACGAAAGATTGAGAAAATTCGTGTTAGAATTATTAATCTTACTTTTTCGGTCATATTTAATAATATATGTCTACAGGAAAGACTGCTACCAAAATATACTATATATATATATATATATATATATATATATATATATTATATATATATATATATATATATATATATATATATATATATATATATATATATATATATATATATGTCGTACCTAGTAGCCAGAACGCACTTCTCTGCCTACTATGCAAGGCCCAATTTGCCTAATAAGCCAAGTTTTCATGAATTAATTGTTTTTCGACTACCTAACCTACCTAACCTAACCTAACCTAACTTTTTCGGCTACCTAACCTAACCTAACCTATAAAGATAGGTTAGGTTAGGTTAGGTAGGGTTGGTTAGGTTCGGTCATATATCTACGTTAATTTTAACTCCAATAAAAAAAAAATTGACCTCATACATAATGAAATGGGTAGCTTTATCATTTCATAAGAAAAAAATTAGAGAAAATATATTAATTCAGGAAAACTTGGCTTATTAGGCAAATCGGGCCTTGCATAGTAGGCTGAGAAGTGCGTTCTGGCTACTAGGTACGATTATATATATATATATATATATATATATATATATATATATATATATATATATATATATATATATATATATATAGGGGGGTACCACCACTGGTGCAATTATAGGGACCCACAGCCTCAGAGAAGGGAACACAGAGCACTCAGGGAAAAACTTGACATTTAACTCTGAATACGAAAGAGTGTTCACTTCTCCTACCACCCCCTTTTTTTTATATATATATATATATTTATATATTTTCATATATATATTTATATATATATATATATATATATTTATATATATATAATATATATATATATATATATATATATATATATATATATATATATGTGTGTGTGTGTGTGTTACTAGTTGTGTTTTTACGGGGGTTGAGCTTTGCTCTTTCGGCCCGCCTCTCAACTGTCAATCAACTGTTTACTAACTACTTTTTTTTTTTTTTTCACACCACACACACACACACACCCCAGGAAGCAGCCCGTGACAGCTGACTAACTCCCAGGTACCTATTTATGCTAGGTAACAGGGGAATTCAGGGTGAAAGAAACTTTGCCCATTTGTTTCTGCCTCGTGCGGGAATCGAA